ATGAATGTAAACGGCGAAGCGAACAGTCTGTTCGGTCGTGTCGAGTGGGTGCTGCTTTTAAGCTAGTGCCGCGTTCTACAGGACGTTAAGTGAATAAAGTTAAAATCATTCACAATTACAGTAAAACGCACGCCAATAAAAACTCACTTACACGTCGTCGTTTCGAATCTGATGATCGAAAAACGCGAAGTGAAAATGTGTCTCGCTGTCGTCGTTCCGTAGCATCGGGTGGGCGTTGCGTGTATTTAAGCTCCCGCGGCATGACGTCTCAATCCGGGTTACGGGTAGTGGAATTTCCGCTTACGTAAGTTCCGGTAACATGTAATATCGTAGTCAAAATGTTAATGCACAGGCTTTTGTTCCGGGTGAAGGATATTCCTTTTCATAGAATTCCGGGGATGGGAATATTTACTGTATATGTATTTTTGTCTATTTTTTGAGGGGGCTGTAACGGACGAATAGCATTTCAATTGATTTCAAATGGGAAACAATTTTAGATTCGAGCAATTTTCAGTGACTACCGTTGTCACGAAATGAATTTAACTTGGAAGTCAAAGTACTACTCTTATTGTCATTTGATTATCCAAACATGTAGCTGAATTTCTAAATATATTTGCACCATATCTTGAGTTGAGCTGAGTTGTTTCTTTCATGTCTTCTTTTTGGGTAGCATTTATCACTTACAAGCTTTGTTCCCTTGGCTATGCAGGTTGACCGAATGGAGACAGCAGGCATTTGTCAGATTGATGTGGCGACCAGAAGAATTGTTGAGGGAAATGATTCACCAACTGAACAAGACAGCCCTTATCAGGTAAACACATTATTTCAGGGGTGTAAAATCACATATATTCTCCAAAGAGGTCATTTGCACATAAAGTACATTTGACAATAATGTGGACTTGAACTTGATTTGAGAAACTGGACATTTGTCAAGGGCCACTCCAGCATGCTAAGCTGAATGGTCATTGAAATAATTTGGTGTTCATATACGGCAAGTATCACCAACCTTTTTGTAACTGCAAGCTTCTTCTTGCATAGTGATTAGTTTGACGTGCTTTCGGTTTGATACACACTTCTGAAATAACATCCATTGATTTTTCCCAATCCTCACGAGGGTCGCTAATTTCCTTTTTAAATGTTAATTCGGCCCCCGAGCAGCGAACATTCCGAGGCTCATATTGTGAATGTGGAATTTATTTCTTTATTCTGTGAATGAATCACATTTTCGGAGACCTAAAAATGATCACCAAACTTTCCAGACTCATTGGGCCTCATGAAAATTTTGATATTTTAGAGTAATTCAGGACAATTAAAAAAAATAAATCGCTCTATAGTTCCACTTTGTATGGAAAAACAAAATCCAATCCCGGTATGTTTGATCTTGGGATACAACAGTTGGGAGGTACATGTTGCGCCCCGAGATGTGCAAACAAGTCCGTTGCAGCCAGATGCTGTGATGTACAGGAAGTGACCTTTTTGAATGCCCGCTTTTTGAATGTCACACTTTTTGCCCTCTTGTCCCAGAGCAGTGGTCCCCAGCTGTGTACTGGTACTAGGCCATGGTCCATTTGGTACCTGGCTGCATTATATGATTGAGAATCGTGGTGTTATATGACCAGCTGTGAGCTGTGAGCATATTTGTTCCATCAGACGTGGCGGAAATTTGTGGCGCTGCAGGCGATCAGAATCCAGGTTTTCCTTCAAACTTTGGTTTGCAAGTTGAAGTAAACAGAATCCGCCTACAAATTAAAGAAGTAATAAAAAATAATTGCAACAGAATGACCAAACCTGCAGCTAAAGTCGCAGCTGATTGGCAGCCATGAATTCCAAAGATGAAGCTATATTGATGAGAATTCTTCCCCGGCTTTTGTGGTGGTCTCTACAGAGCTATATGGAAGAGTAAGCCCTTGTGCAAGCTATGTTGTCAAAGACAAGGCAATACAACAATCCTGTTGAATCAATTGATCGAGTAGCACCCAAATAATGAAGTGGAAAAACACGAAACTTCAAGCAAGGTTTGCACAGGCTCCCCACATAATTATTAGCAGATTTGCTGCTCATAACTAGCTAGCAACCACCGGATGAAAGCAGAAATCAATCGTGCCATCTTTTGATTATGCACATTTGCAAGTAGCAATGATGCTAATGATGTACTGTATGTAGGATCGTAACTTGGGAAAAAATATGTTCACATTTTATGGCATATTCATTATTCCTGAGGGGTCAATTTTTAGTCGTTCACTGTGTTGTTTTTTATTGTTCTGTAGCTGTTCTGCTGTTGATAAACAATGTTTGAAGTTAACAAAAACAAATCTCTGCTAATAAGATATCCAATTACTTATAATTATCTTTGTCCTTTACCCAAGCTCTACAAAAAAGTCTCTTGCAGCCATTTGTTTTGAAACACTTTCACAATATTTTGTTACTCCAATACTTTATTTACTCAAGCAGGATCGTTGAGAATAGACACACAGAAATGAACACAAGACACTGAACTTTGCTAGAATATGAGCGTCATTTATTCCGCCACAAAGAATCAGCACAGCAATACAATCACAAGTTGGTTAAATGCACTAAGTACAATCAAACTCTCACCGTAACGCTCTGGGAAGGAGAGCCAACCTCCCCGGCAGAGTGTGCATTCAACCAGCTGGGCGTCCGTACGCATCCCGCAGCAGACTTTACCAGAGTTTAGCTCCCGATTCCTTTTCTACGCTCAAATGTTCGTGTGCCACAGAGGGGAGGGTGGCCAGCCCAAACTCTCTGGCGCCGCCGAACAGCCTTCTTCTTCGATAACAGGTGTCATACACATCTGACTCTCAAAATAATCATGTTTTGCTCAAGCAATCCCACACCCCGTTCCCAAGGGACATGCACTCCTTTCTCTCAGGGAACACTCGCTCCTGGTACTTGAGCAAAAACATGCCTAAACCTTCCTACAAACCAAAAACATCACATAAAATATACTTGTTCCTCTTCACCATGTGCTTCAGAAAGTCCGCCACTTTGAATTTTCTTTCAAATTTGGCCCCATTTTTTTTTTTTCCTTTTATAGAGAAAACATTTTAAAGAACTCTTCCCAGATATTCGATTATCTTGAAACTGTTGATGTTTCATCTAAAGATGTCCAAGATAAAAAGTAAAAGCAATGATTTTTATATCATCAAACACTGTTGGCAGGGTGATGTTGTGTTTACCATTTCGAAAAAAAAAAAATCTTGCTGGTCTAAACATGCATGAAAACATGAACATTTTCACATACATCAAGCCTGACAAAATGGGAAAAAAACATTTTGGAGTCTCACAATCACAAATATTTAAAGCACTGGCCCCAGTTCTGTTTCACCAAGTTTTATGTGCCATTAAAAAAAAAAAATCCCGTGCACCTGTACCTCAATGTGCCAGAATCTCAACATGCCAGTACCCTAAAGTGGCCTGCGCTGTGAGGGCCCTTCATAGCTGCTTGCCGCTCTAGTTATGGTCGGAGCAGCTACCACTGCGAGAGCCCTTTCGTTTTTGCAGAAGATATTGTTCTTCTTATTATTAGAGTCTGTGCAGCGACTGTTGCAAGGTCCCCATTGTTTTTGTCGGAATTATTCGGGCCCGAGCAGCGATTGCTGAGATGTAACTATTGTTTTTGTAGACATTTTTTTCCCATAAAGTTTAGCATTTTTGAAACCTTGAACATGCGCAAACAGTGATAATTTTACAATTTACCGGCAGCGAGTCCCAGGGACTCGCTGATCAGAAAAGTATGAGTCCCATTATGCGTTTAGAGAGTCCCAAATTTCGAATTCTGAAATGGTCTACTTATTCAATTGCATATGATAATAACACAAACAACAACATATACATACAATGGTAAACAAATGCTGCAAAAATGTTAATAATTCAGTAGAAGGCCTGAGGATTTCGGAAATTCACGGTAACCGTTTTTCTGTTCTGTTGGATTATACAATGGGAAACCACGGTAACTAATTTTGGGTTCCGTAAACTTTGATCATGGGAACCCACTTTTCTATTTTGACTGATATTCATAATCAAGAATTCTGAAACGCAAAAGTATAATGTTTCAATGGTAAATGTTTGAAAACTATGCATTAACAATGAACATTACATCAGCAGTTGTGTACTCCCAAGTTTATTCAAAAAAATAAATGGATCAAAAACTGGTGTACTCATATGGCATCATGAATACAGCATACTGTACCACAAAATCAGTGTTTTTTTCCAATCTCACACTGCAAAGATTAATTTACTGGTAATCATTAATACAGCTAAGTATTGATGTGGCTTGACATCCTCTTCCCAAGACGATGCGTGTGTAATCTACAACCAATTTGACGAAAGAATCGTACACACGTCATTAGTTCTACCAACAGTTAACATTAGCATTACTACACCTTGTGACGAATGTTTTATTCCTAAAGTTACCATGCTACAACCAATAAATTATAGAAAAACCAATACTGTTTCATAATATTTTTCATAGCGATTAGCCTATAGATCTAATGACAAACTTGCCTCATAATCGTGCCTTCCGTCATATCTCGCTCTTGTTTTCTGTGCATACATCCCAGGTGAGTTTAGTGATACGCCCTTTGGACGATTCATACGAAAAATCAGACTGGCATTCCCATTTCTTAAATGTCGGAATTAGTAGACCTTTGTGAGTTTTTTTCACCACCATCTCAAACTTTCATCCGCGCGATTCCTCAGTTTGTGGACTAAAATAGCAACCCGCATGCGCACATAACATTATCTGTTCCGTACCCCCAACACTAAAAACAAAACAAAACGAAAGTAAATTAGAAGAAACACACTCACACACCACACCACAAATACCCATACAGACACAGTGAAATCGCGTTGATCACGCAGGAGAGACTTGATCGCGTACAGTTAACTCGTGTGCGGTGACTTTTATGGTTAAACCATTTTTCGGTACCTTTAAAATGATGCCACGGAAACGACACACTACCGGTAACGATCGTGATGTGAAATCCTCAGGCCTGCCGTAGTTTTTTTTTTTTTTTTTTTGACTGAGAAATTTCCTTGCGTCCCAAAAACGCACATTATTTGGAACTGTCCATCCCGCGGGAAAGTTATGCATCAAGGACGTGGGACGCAGAGGTAACGAGATGGCTGTGCAAAAACTCATCGGCCCTGATGAAAAAAAATTATATTTTGAACTTTTCATAAATGATGAAAACAATATTTGTGGAACTCTTAGGTGATTAACATGCATGACAGTACTTTAAATAAAATAAACTCAATCATTCGTAACTCATTACTAAATCATTACTGCCTCAGCATAATTGAATGGGGAATTTGTTTGTGGAGTTTTTATCATGTCTTTGATATTGCAGAAAAATTGATTTTCCATAAATATATGTAAAGGATATATTAATTGATATTGGAGTGAATCGAAAACAATCTAAATCGAATCACTGACTCCCTATACATTTTAGAGTTATTTTCAAGAGCCTATTATTTGTTTTCAAATCTCTAAATGACCTCGCGCCACCTGACCTCTCTGAACTCATCCGCCTGTGTACCCTCTGCCCGTCTCAGCACGATGGGGTGCAGAGCTTTCAGCCGCTCTGCCCCCAAACTCTGGAACTCACTCCCACCCGACATCCGAAATATTGACTCTCTTCCTATATTCAAAACTCATCTTAAAACCCACCTATTTAAAATTGCATATACAGTTTAAACTCATCACTTTTATTATTTATAATTTTATCTGTGGTTTTATTGCTCGTTTGGTTGTAAAGTGTCCTTGGGTATTTTGAAAGGCGCTTATAAATA